ACGTGAAGTCACCCCCCCTTTTTCCCGCCAAACTCGCCGGGCTCCCCAAAAGTTGCAGAGGGCCCCCGAAAGTTAGGATTTTGTTGTTACGGCGCAAAGTTCTGGGCGCTCCCCCAAAAAACGCGGGGATGCCGTCACAGCGGAGCATCCCGCAAAACTCCCGACGGCTCCTGCGGACTTACCGGGGTGAAACTTGCAGCGTTAAAATTTGGGGATTCGCGCAAAAGTGATGCCCCCCGCCGATTTAGAGGTTTGCCGATAAATTACAGGGGTCTTCAAACGTCGCAGAGCTCCTCACAAAGTTATATTCCCCAAAACTTTTTGGATGCYCCCAAAGTTCTTTCCGAAGTTTTATATCCCCTGGAACTCGCCAGTAGGGCTCCCCCATCAGCTCTAGGGCTCCCCCAAAAGTTATAGTGACCTTCCGCTAGGAAGGGGGTGTGGTCTGGATTTTTGAGGTGTGCGAGCCGTTCCCAGCAGGAAAGAAGTTCCTAATTCCACACGGGTTCAGTCAGTCCTGCCCACTAGGAAGAATCGCTGCCAAAACCCACCCGGAGTGGCAGGTCTGGGTGTGGGGTGTGAGGGGTACAGGAGGTGCTCGGGATACCGGTAATGCATGGGGGGTCCAGGCAGTGCAAGGGCTCCATGGAGTGCATGGGGTACCCTGGACATGCGGGATCCATGCGATGCCCTGGGTACACGGAACGCATGGAGTGTGTGGGGTGCATGGGATCCTGGGGTGCATTGGGGTGCCCTGGGTATGTAGAGCGCAGGGGGTACCTGTAGTGCAGAGGGTGCGTGGGGTGCATGTGATGCATGGGGTGTAGGGGTTTTGGGGTACATAGGGTGCCCGGGGAGCCCGGGCTGGCTCTCGCCGTCTTTCTGCTCCTCACCTTCCCCTAAACCCGCGGAGCCGCGAGCGCCGGGCGGCGGCGAGGGGCCACCGTCTCCTGCTGCTGCTGCTGGATTGACCAACCCGCAGCCTGAAGGTCAGGACAGAGTCCGCGCGGCTGTCCCGGATGGTGGCCCCCGCCTGTCCCCCCCGCCTGTCCCCCCCGCCTGTCCCCCCGCCTGTCCCCCAGCAGCCCTGGGCTGGCTGATTCCCGTAGCTCGGAGGCTATGGGGTTGCGGGGGCGGCGTCCCGGGGATCCCCTGCCTCGGGAGGCGATGTTTGCAGCTTGGTTTCCGGGGTGCTTGGACACCCCTTKTTCCCTGCTTTGGTGGAGGGGGAGCTGGAGGTGCCGCTTCCACCCTGTGCCGTGGCCAGGTGCTTTCCGAGGAGTGAAAAAAAAGCAGCAAACAGGGAAAATCCCTACGAACCCGGCCARGCGCCCGATGTCACCCCGGCACGGCCGCTCGCGGGGTCCCTCTGCACGCCACAGGAACCGGGGTCCAGCCGGGTGAAGGGCAGTGTCCCCCGGGAACCGGGACACCCGCGGGACCCCAAACCTGCCCGGGGAGCACGGGAGGAGAAGCACAGCCGGAGGCAGCCTTTATCCCCATCCTGCCCGTCTCTGRGGTGCCTGGCCCGGCAGCCCCCGTTAACGCAGCCCTGGAGAAGTTTGTGGGGCCCGGGGGAGGCTCCGCGGCCGCCCCCGCTCTGGTTTAATGGTTAACGGCGGCCGAAGCGCGGAGCTGGAGGCTCCGGCAGCTCCGTTCGGGGTTATGCAACTCCACGAGCATCGCCCGCCCTTGCACAGGGTGGCACCAGCCCGACCCCGGCCCGGGCAGGGGGCTCAGCAGGGTGGTACCCCAAAACAAAATCGTGATCCTAGCATCTCCTGAGTTGGAAGGAACATGCAAGGATCATTTAGTCCAGCTCCTGGCCCTGCACMGGAYRCCCCCAAGAATCACMRTCCCTGGAARTGCCCCCATGATACCTAAATGCCCTTGCCAGGAGCGGGYTGGCTGCGGACTGGGCTGKGATGCCCCTCGCCCAGGTGACCTTRCAGACASAGCCGGGGCCGTGASAGCCCTGCCCGTGTCCCCTGGCTGCCTGCTGGGCGTGCGGAGCTGCCGGGGGACGGGGCCACACGGGTGTGAGCTGCAGGGATGTGGGGCTGGGCGGGGACAGCGCGGAGCGGTTCAGGTGTGGGGCTGCTTTGAGGGCAGAGCCCTGTGCTGCCGTGCAACMAAAGAGCTGCGCGGGCTGCGGGACYGTACGGGGTGCGGGGACACAGGGGATGCGGGGACAAAGGGGGTGCGGGGACACACAGAGTGCTGGGACACACGGGGTGCGGATCCTTACAGTACAGAGCGCTACAGAGAGCCACGGAGCGTGTCACACCGTGCGGGGGTCACACCGTGCGGGTGTCACACCGTGCGGGTGTCACACCGTGCGGGGGTCACACCGTGCGGGGGTCACACCGTGCGGGGGTTACACCGTGCAGTGTGTTTTGCTCCTCGCAGCACCGTGCAACATCCTGCAGCGTGCAGGACTATGTGACACTCAGCCCCGTTCAGCTCCGTAGGGCACTCGCTGGGCTCCTGCTCGCTCCCTCTTGTGGGAGCGGCACCGTTCAGCACCGTCCCCTCGCAGCACTGTCCCYTCGCAGCACTGTCCCCTCGCAGTGACAGAGAGCCCCGCACGCGTCTGTCCCCCGGGCTGCTCCCAGCCCTACCCACTTCCCTCGCTCTCACCCCGACCTTTCCAACCATAACTTGAGCACAAAAATGCTATTTTGGGATGGATCCTGCATTCACCACGCAGATTTTGAGCCTTCTGCCAGAGCTCCCGGCACATTTTCCATCATCCTGAGGATTGGACAGTTGTTCTCTGAGTCCGGCTCTCCCAAGTCCCATAGGAAGAATGGGCAATTGGGCAGCCCTGCTCAGTGGGCTGCTTCTACTGCTGCTGGAGYAGGTTGGGAAGACACTTTGGCCACCTCAGCTCGGCCACAACAGGAGCTTTCCCTTCCCTGGTGCCTTTCCAAACATTCCTTTCCCCAGGGAGGCGGCACGGCGGGACCATCGTGCGCCGGTGTGAAGCCACACTGACCTCGCAAGGAAGTGATGCTCCTGTGCGGGGCCACGCAGCCCAAAACAGCTCTCAGGGGACTCAGGTTGTGCCGCAGGGACCCAGCCATGTGKGCTGGGAGGATGGAGAAGGGAAGCAGGGGAAGGATGCGGCCGGGGGGAGCCTCACTCGTTGCTGTGGCGCGACTGGCAGCAGGAAGAGCACGGCAGCRCCGGCACCAGCCGCGTTCTATCAGCGCCCTTATCTCGCAGGGGGATGGGAGAAGCTCTCGAGGGCGGCTGTGGTTTGGCGTCGAGCACGGGGCTGACGACGCCTGGGGTGCCTCCAGCTCTAACGCCTTCAGCGGGGTTTGCTGAGCGCCGCGTTTTCGGTTTTAATCTCTTCACCTGCCGCGGTGCAGGGGCAAAGCAGCGGAGGGAAGGCGTGTGGCTTCCTGCCACACAGCCTGGAACGGCACGGCACGGCACGGGGGCTGCAGGTTCCGCCCGACTCCAGCGAGCACCAGGCCATCGTGCCACGAGGTCAGGCAGCCGCTGTCCAGCTGGTGCCCATGTGACAGGGGCCACCATCATTGCATCGCCAAGGCATCCCTTGGGGCCGGGACGTTTAACTCCCCATGGTGGGGGAGGAAGGAAAGTTTAAACTATGGACTCTGAGAGTTTGGGTGCATGTCCCAAGCATTTCTGACACATGGAGGCTGCAGGACCCACGGGAGTGATGAGGAGGTGAGCAGGAAGCCAGTGCTGGGCTCCTACCCCAGCTCTGTGCCCCAAAGCTCTGCTCTGGCACAGATCACCCCATTTCAGCAGCTCTCAGTGGCTGTGTCCCCATTTCAGAGGCCAAACCACCCATCCAGGGCGGGGGCACTCACAGTCACACTGTGCTCAGAGCTGCTCTCCCAGCACCAGCTGCACCAGCAGCAGCAGCCCCCAGAATCAGGGATTTAGATCCAGTTCAAAAGTGTAAAACCTCCTCTTGGCCTTTTAATGGTGTTTGGGAGAGGGCTGCCCATGGAGACACCCTTGCATGGGTCTGAAATGGTGGAACTGAGGATGGAGCAGAGTCCGTAGCCCACACCAGTGAAATTTCTGTGTTGTCCTGTGCAGGGTCAGGAGCTSGACTCAATGATCCCTCGTGGGTCCTTTCCAATTCAGGATGTTCTATGATTCCATGAAGGCACAGGGCTGACCCCATTTCCCCATAACAAAAGGGACATTCTGTGATGGGAGCAAAGCTTCTCAGGSCTTCCTGTGGGCTGGAGGGACCCTGGTCTCCCTCAGGCAGTGTGAGGAGGACAGAGAAACTTCAGTCATGGCATAAAACCCCCAGTGAGGGTCTAATCCTGCAGCCCAAGGTCATGGGCTCAACCCCACCCCAAAACATGACTGSTCCCCACCCTGTTCCCATCTTGGTGCCAGTGCCAGCCCTGTCTCATGGGGGGTCCCACACAGCACCCAACACCCCCAAACTGCCCATCTTGGCACATTCCACCACCAACCTGGTGGCACCAGCTGGGTTGGGATGGGACAAGGACACTTATAAAAAAGTAACAAAAAGTATATACAGAGAGTGTGTGCAGGGACATTGCTGCTCCTGTGGGCACAGGGCTGCTGGCACCTGTCCCTTGGCATTCGTCAGTGTCTGGCAAGCTGTGGCACTGCCCTGCTCCCAGAGGGGCTATAGGTTGGTGATGTAAACCTCCAGCCCGTTGGCCGCTGCCCTGGCAGAGGCTTTCCGGGGCTCCCCTGCCCAAATGTCCACAACACTCTCGTACAGGTTCTCGGGGACACCGCGCTTCCCTGGCTTGTCCCGTTTCGCTGCCTTCTTCCAGTTAATGTCCACAGCCTCGTAGTCGGGGTCGGGGCCACGGCCCTGAGCAGTCCATGCTCTGTCACTGATGGACTCGTAACAGGGATCAGGGGGSCCTGGGGCCGCTGGGTCCCTCTCCTGCTGGCAGGGGGGCAGGCACCCAGAACCCGCCTCCTTYGTGGCCCTTGGGGTCGATGTGGGGATCTGGGATTTCTTCTTGGTGGCTTTGCACACTGTYGAGTACATCTCTTCCAGCTGCAAAAGGAACTATTTTTGGCTGGGGGTTTGGGGGAAATCCCTGCCCACTGCAGAGTATCCCCATGAATGTGCCCCCCCATAGTTTCCAACAGCTCCCCAGGGGGATCCTGACAGTGGATCCTATTTTGTTCCTAAACATGGGTACTACAGGGAGACAGGGAATTAAATGACCCCCCATGTGCCCCATCCCTAATGCCCCCCGAGTCGTACCTTGGCCTGGGGGGCACTGCCTGCACCATCCCAGCAGTGCTGTGCTCCAGGGGGCCCTGCCACGGCCCCATCCTGCACTTCCACTGACACCGTCTTCTTCACCTTATGGACACAGGCATAATCAGCTGCCCCAAGTACGGCCCGTGGAGGGGTCATCTGGGTGCCAGTGGGCATTGGGGGCACCGGGGCATCCTTCCCTGCCACTGCCAGGCACTCGTAGACAGWGTCTGGCGCTGGTTTCCGCGGTGGGGTGAAGAGCAGGTTGGAGTAGGTCTGGTCGGGGGCTGGGGACGTGGTTGGAGGCTCAGGGACGGGGATCTGGGGCAGCTCACGGTGCAGGAGGCCAGAGCTGTGCAGGGATTCGGCTCCAGGGGCTGCAGGACAGGGCAGAACCAGGCTGGCTGGACGCTGGGCTGTGGGAGAGGAGAGGAAATGAGGGGATGCATCAACAGGCACCAAAACCCCTGTGCCAGCACAGTGCCAGTGTGTGTTGGTGTGTTCGTGCCATGATGTGCTCCCCGGGCAGCGAGGGGACTGCAGGCACTTGCCAAGGGCCACCAGCCCTGTCAGCCCCCCCAGCTCGACAGCCACTCACCATCTCTGACCTTCACCCGGTACAGCTCGTGCAGCTTCGTGTCCGACCTGCTGAGTGACCGCAGCTGAGTCTGGCGCAGCAGGGCCTGCCGTGGGGGAGCACACACCCTCAGGCTGGGCTGAGAGCCCACACCACCCCTGGGGCTGATCCTGCCCCCAACGTGCTCTTACCTCATCCACGAGCTTCACCCCGTCTGGAGCCACCTTCTTCCTGCCCTTGCTGTGGGGAGAAGGGCGGCTGAGCCCAAGGTGGGTGGCAAAGTCAGGGATGAGGAGCAGAACCCCAGGTCCCCAACATGGCACTCCCAAAACCCCCATCCCTGCTCCTTCCCCAGTCCCACAGCAGGGTCTGTGCTGCTGGGACATCACAACTGCATCCTGCACCCCACTGGGCTGTGCTGGACACCACGGGCACCACCCTTGGCATCGCCCATCCTGCTCTGGGCTGCTGCTCTGAGGTTTTTGGGTCTCAGGGTATCCTGGGGGGCTATGAGGCTCAGGGATCAAGCCAGGCAGAGCTGCACTGGGGCGCAGGTGGAGGTTTGGGGTGAGCARAGCAGCAGATCCCGTTGGTCCCAGCTCAGATGGGCACACTCAGGGTCTCCATGTGCAGCCACCAAATGCCACCAGGGGATCCCCAGCTCCATCCCAGCCCCAGGAGGGAGAGCAGAGGAGCTGTGGGGAGCACGTACCGTTTACAGGCAGCACACAGGGCTCCCAGGTAGACCAAGACACCGAGCAGGGCCAGGGCAGCGCCGGCTGGCAGGAATGGGGTCCCTGCCTGCCCCTCACCACCGGCTGTGGCCATGGGGGAACCGCCTCCAGCACCACTGCGGGGCCGAGCTCTGGAGAGAGAGAACACGAGCTGGGGGTCAGGCAGAAGCTGCTGGGCTCACTGTGCTGTGAAATGGAGACTCTTTCACCCCCAGGGCTTGAAGGACCCTCGCAGCACAGCCCCCCAGGCAGGGGGTTGCTCTGGATGCTCTAGAGGGGGACCATATCCCATTTTCTGGCCAGCAATTGCCCTTCCCGGGGTCACCATGACACCTCCAGCCCAGTGTGGACAGTGGGTGCTCTGCCACCGTTGCAGAAAACTTCAGAATTTGGTTCATTTTGAAAAAAAAAAAAAATCCAACAAAACCAATGGGATTCAAGATCACAAGCTGCCACTGAAACAGTGCAAAGGAGATACCCAGGCACCCTCAAAACCCTCTGGAGACACCCCAAAAATGACAGAATGCTTTCTGGGGACACCGGGACACCACCCTGGGCTGTGGGATGGGGATGACACTGCTCCTGAGCACAGATGAGGCCAGAAAGGACAGGCAGGATTACTCAGTTTCCCAGAAACAGGGTGAGCTTCAGCCTCTCCTTCCTCTCCCTCCTCGGGCTCAGCAGAGCACACCAGGACACCCTCCTTCTGCAATGGATTCACACCCCTCACATTCCCTCTGCCACCACAACCCCTGACAGCAGAACAGAAAACACCCAACCTTCACACTCCTTTCCTCTCTCTAAAACCGTGCCTTGTCTGAATCCAGCCCTCATCCCTGTGCCTTCCCCGAGGCAACAATCCTCCCCTGTAACCTGCAGCAGTGGCAGGGCCAGGAGATGCTGGGGAGCCCAGCACAAAGCCCCCAGCCTGTCAGGATCTCCACCTTCCCCAGGAGGTTTTCAGTGACCCTGTCCCACCATTCCCAAGCCCCCATCCCCATCCCTGCTCCACTGCAAACCCAAAAGCTGACACCCCTTCACCTGCACTGGCGTCGAGGGCGGCTGCAGCTCCCAGCTCTGCACAGCTCAGCTCTGCACCCTGCTCTACAGAGAAAKGCTGGCCTGACCCAGCACCCAGGAAATGCCTGATCCGAAAGGAGATGAGGCAGCTGCTGGGGTAAAGAGCAGCTCCAAGAAGCGATGGTAGCTGATCCAGGTGGGGCCAGCAGTTGTGTCCGGGGGCAGAGCTGTGCAGAGCAGCTTCCACCAGCATGGATGGGACCAAGAGATCCAGTGGGACAGAGATTCAGGGCYGAGCACCTCCTACTCACCCTCTTGYATATCTTCATSCGGATGACAAAGCCCWRAYGAGCTCTGGTGAGAAGCCACCCTGCCTTGTGTGGATCTCAGAAGTGCAGACCCACAGGAGCTCCCCTTCCCCTTGCACCAGGTCACACAGCAGCATCTTTGCCACATTTTCACCCCAAAAACCAGCTCTGCCCACTCGAAGCACCCTTTTATCTGAGAGCACCCTTTTATCTGAGAACATCCCATGCCTTTGGAAAATGCCCTGACTGAAGCRTGAACCCTGGAGAGCAATTATTTCMAGGTAGAAAGTGAGACAGAGAGGTTTTAAGGACTAACCAGGCTGGACAGACTGGCTTAGATCAGAGCTGGGAAGGGGAGGCTGTTCCCTTTCCAACGACTTTTTAATTAGACAACACAGCTTTTCTGTCTGAGCATACATTAATTATACGGATTACCTGCAACAGGGCCGGTGCGTTAGACAGAGCCTGGAGCTCCTCACTGGACTCGTTCAGCTCATTAGAGAGATGGAATCACGGGCTGCAGGAGCAGGGCAGAGCTGAGCAGGCTCTGGAGTCCAGCAGACAAAGTTCTAACGAGGTTTGATGGCCAGGAGCTGGTGTGATGTTGGAATCCAGGTGGGAGCTTTCAGCATGCTGAGGCAGGCACACACAGGGCAGCTTGTCCCACAGCAGGGGGATTTTCCATCCCTGAATTTTGAAGATTGAAGGGAGAGATGTCCTGAGTAGAAATGAATGTGGAGAAATTCTTCTGACCTACTTTCTGTAGTGCAGGTCGGTGGCTGCTCCTGAATTTCTGGAGTGAAACTGCCCAGTGCAGGTTCCTCAGAGTGTTCAGGCTCAGCAGTCACYGGGAGAAGCCACTTCTTGGGACAACACGTTGAGTCTCCCAAAATCCCAGATTTGTGCGCAAAGCCCAGCGCCTGACTGAAGGCGCTCAGGTAGGACGGAGCAGGTTTGCAAGGCAAAATCTCAGCCAGACCTTTTTAAACTTACACCTGAATTTGCTGCCAATAAAGCCATCGATCTCCCCGTCCTGGGGCTGCTCCCCGGGGCAGGAGACTCAGCAGACAGAATTTCATAAGGCGCCGGCTCCGCCAGCCGAGGTGGCTTTGAAGACAAGGGCGGTCACAGCCGTTGCGTACGTGCGACAACACCCACAGCCCTCCGAGGAGGGATCGCTCCCCTCCGTGTGCGACACCCCAGCTCAGGCACCCGAAAGCCAGATGGTTTGCTACTCCAGGACATGGGGGTTTTTTGTGAATCCTACAAAAGGTGCGAGTTCCTCATCTGGGCTTCATGAAAACAAGATTAAATTCACTGCAAAATCAAGCGCTGCTGCTGGTGATGATGATTCTGCCTGGCCTCTGATTCATCTCTTCAGATAAAACCACGCAGTGTTTCAGTACAGGGTGACGAGAAAAAAGTCTGTGAAGCTACTCAAAGCCTGTTTGCATGAAACCAGGAGGAACATTTTGAGCTGATYTYCATCAGCAACTGTGCACAAGGCTGYGGTAAACTCTGCTCAGGTACCCCAGGGAGTTGTGCTTCAAAAAAGGCCCAAGAAGCAGAAGTAGATGGATTWTTTTCTTTTCMATTACAAAAAATGAAAGCCCTGTTTACAGTTAGTAACAACACTGAACCTGCCCTAGACCATGGGGTGCAATTAATGTATTTTAAGACTATTTCAGAAAAGCAGACATGAAATCTCACCCACTTCACTCAYCTCTATAATAAGATTTCATGGTCAAACACCTCCAGAGGCATTTTATTTAGAAAGTGCCAATCATACTTCTAAATGCCAGACCCAAACATCTGAAAACTTGGATGCACATTTCTAGCCACAGTTCTGATCACTGCTCACATGCTGGAGTGGCTTTTGGGAAAATATGACCTTAAAACTCACTTTGGATGAGTGACTACCTGCCCAYACCGCAGGGCTTTGCTCGAGGCTGACACCATTTCAGCTCTTTTCTTTCTTCCTGCCCTTTCCTGGTCGCTGAACACTCACTTGGGCAGAAAGATGCTCTTCTAAGAGGCAAGAATCTGCTCAAGAGGTTTTCTGCAGAGCTGAGCCACAGCATGAGACCGAGCAGAGAGCTCGAAGCTGCTGTTTTGGGAATCCAAACTACGGGATGGGTGTATTAAGATGTGTCCTCAAGAACCATCTGCCTACCACAGTGGTTTTCTTTGCCACAAATGCAGTACTCGTACAACACCTCAGGTTTACAGAAGCCAGCATTTYAGTGACCACATTCTCAAGCCTCCTCACCCATAGCCTGGAGTTCAGCACTTCCCCGCTACACATACAAGCAAAACTCCAGTCCCCSTCCCCACAACACAACAGGAAATTTCTACAATGCCACACACCTCTGAATTGCATTCATTCATCCCMAAAAAAATCAGCACTCAGCCTCCAGACTCCAGCCACGGGATCCCAGCAGCACTGCCAAAGCTCCACCACCTTTTTGTCCCTTTGAAACCCAGCTACAGAGCATACAGCACAAACTGACACAGCTTGGAGTCCAGCTTGCAAAGTTGAATGCAGCTGATGCTTCCCAGAGCAGAGCAGGAATCCTGCCTGTCCAGTCTATCCAGCTCCAACAGCATCTCCAACAACGCTGTGATTTTTATACACATTTTGGGGTTTACAGTATTTCCCTCCCTGGTTTAGCTGCAATCCCCCGTTTCCCAGGCAGSAAAGCCACCACCACTTACTTTGCAGGAGCTCAAAATCCAGTGAGTGTGGAGCACAGGGGTCCRATCATGCTCTCCTCCTTGCCATCCAGCCGGGAGAATTTCATTCTTTTATCCCACAATGAATCCCAATCAGGGGCTCTCTTACATTTCCAMCATCCCGACCCGAGGAGCAGCCGGCTGTGAGCACACACGGAGCACACACCCCACAGCTTCCTGGCCTCGGAGGTGRTGGCTTCACCCCGGGTAGGCTGGGTTTGTGCTCGCAGGCTCCCGGGCTCTGCAGGCTCCCAGCACACAGAGCACCCTCTGCCGCACCCACTCCCCGCCCGGCTCCTCCGGGAGCTCAGGGCAATGCAAGGAAAGGATGTGGCGCCCCACATCACCATTACCTTGCAAATGAACAACACCTTACAAGGAGAGAGGGGAAAATAAACACCTTTATTCATCAGGGATGCAGACTGCACTGGGTGGGAGGTGGCAGCCACTGGAATAGGAGTCGGACAAGTCAGGCTGTGGAGATCCCAAAGAAGGGTCAAAACACGACTTGGCTGAGACACAGGGCTCATACACCCAGATCCTAAAGAGATGATGATGTTTAACAGTCCCAGAGCACAAATTAAACCAACAAAATTCTCTGCCCAGCTCAGCTCTCCAGTCATGGACCGCTTTAGTGAGCACATTAATCCTTGTCACCACTCAGCACTCGAGTGTGGAAAACAAACAGTCATTTGTGAGGGAAGGGCCATTGTTAAACCCTTGAGTTGAGCCCTGTGCATGGAGAACACCAATTCAGAACAATGAGGACAGTACAGCCAATTCCAGTAAGAACCAATGGATGTTGAAGTGCCCAAGGCAGCCCGTGCCACCATCCAATCCACAYGGTCACAGCATGATCCCAGGTGCTCTTCAGGAGCAGAGACTCACTCCCACAAGTTTCCTGAAGATGTTCATCTTGTTTGGCTTTGCTGTCTCGCTGTGTTTCTGAGGTGTGTCAGCAGCAATGTGAAATCCCACACAACCTGAACAGCTCTGATCATATCTTCTTCAGCCTCAGATTTTCTGGTTCGKTTGGCAGCCTGATCCTGCAAGCAGGMACAGCCCTGCCCAGGCTGACAGCTTGTTTTTCAGTCTGTTCTTAGGGATAGAYAAAAAAGGGGGTACTAAAGGAACCKTTTCATTAGAAAAATGACTCACAGAGTAAAAGGAAATTGGTTCCTTAAATTAAAAAAGAACTGGTGTCCTTAAGATACTGGCATGARTYGCAAACTTTTCTTTTTAAAAATAAAAAGCCTTTACAATGCACAAATCCCACCAGATGATGAAACCACCATCTCCTCTGAGGCAACGACTGGCCACCACCAACACAGAATGTAACCCAGAGGGGAGGACCTCCTTCMTGTCCAAACACTGTCCACTTTGCAGGGAAGGGCACTTGGCTTGCCTGGCCTGCTCCCAGCCCAGCCCCATACTCTCTCACTGCAGAGCTTCACACTGGGCACATACAGATCCTGCTCTTTGTGCTCATCCAGGGCCCAGTCCAACCTGGATCTGGGTCCTGAGGTTTTATACTAAAAGGAGTTCAGTGAGCCACAAAAATCCAACTAATGGTGGCAAAAATCACAAGGTTCCCTGTGGAGCTGTTCCTGGATAGGAGATTTGGGAATCCCATTATGCTGCTGGCTTATTCCCCCAGCTATGGCACTCTACTTGTGGAACCAGGCACCTTTCTGTRCCAAGCCAGTGAGTTTGGCTACAGCATGTCCTGGGATACTCAAACAGTCAAACTGCTGAAATCTGATGCTTCAGACTGCTGGTTCTCACCTCTGAGCTGCCAGATTCCTGTCTATTTCTTACAGTAGAGCTACAAATAACTGCTCCCTCCAAAAAATGGAGTGCTCAGATAAATCCCATAGTAAAATCCAGAAGGCAGAGAGCAGCTAAAGTACTTGACCTTRGATGTTTTCACCCAGTTGTGCTTGGGACCCTGCCTGCACCTGTGCTTGGCAGGTGGCTGCAGACAGAAGCCACAGTTGATGGCAGGAAGTGGGGCTGCCCAAGTCCCCTCAGCTGGTTTGTAGCCAGCAGCGTTGTCTCCTGAGCACACACAGACTCTGGATGGAGCTGCTACCACAGGGGAAACGGAGGGAAAATGTGTGCAAGAGAGCAGAGAATTGTATTCCTTGTAGCTAGACCTCATCCAAGGCCCAGCTCACTGAATGCTTTCAGGGCTGGATGGATGTGTACTCATTCCCCTCCCAAAAGAGCTCTGAAGCATGCAGAAACTGCTGCTTTCCTGMCCAGTTTTAGGCTGGACAGCGCACCCAGGCTCTGAGGCCAGGAGCACCAGAAGGACAATCCCTGCAGTCCAACACCTTCCTCAGCACCTAGAACTCAGTCATCTTCTTGTGGGTGTCTGCTTTCTTCTGCTCCCGCTGCAGCCTGGCTTCCTGGGCCTGCAGCTGCCCCAGCTGCTTGTGAGCATCAGCCAGCTTCTCCTCCAGCTGAGCTGTAGCAATGCTGTGCCTGGAAGCAAAAAGCACAAGGGCAATGTTATCCTGCAGGTAAGATCAAAGGCTTGTCCTCATCCCAGGGTTTKCCCTTTCCTGTAGATGAGCCCAAGGGACCTGCTGAAAGCCAGGAAGAATCTGATGCTCAGCACAATCTGGGCTAGAGAATGTCTGCCTGGGATGCTCAACAGCAACAGTGCAGAGGTGGGCACAAGGACTCCAGCACCTCCCTCCCAGAGCTCCTCCCTTTGCCACAGCCTGAATTCCAGACAAAGGACCCCACAAGGTGTCCAAGCTGGTCTGAAGGACACACTAAACTCTCTCCTCCACTTTCCCTCAGGTCTCATCCAGATACATTTCACTTATTCCTCCYGCACCTAATTTCAAGCCCACCCCTCCCCAGAAGCACCAAGAACTTGATTCCAAAGAGAACATTTTCCTACCGCCCGACATTGCGCGCCAGGGCCTGCTGGATTCCCCTGATATCCCTCTGCGTTTGCTCGATCTTCTCCGTGGTCTGGAAGAGGCTGACACTCAGAGCCTTCTTGGTGCTCTTGCTGGCGTGGTAAATCTCTTTGCTGCTCCTCTGGGGCAGTGCCATCCCCCCCGCCTTGTCCCCGGCGTGCTTCCCACGCAGTTTCTCGTTCAGGAAGTCAAACACATTGCGTGGGGCCTTACGGCCACCYGGCTGTCCAGAGCTGCTTCCCTTTGCTCGGCATTTCCTCGATTTGCCTGGCTCCAGCTTCCCCTGCTTCTTCTTCTGAAGCACCTCAGCACACTGGTCCAGGGACTTCCCTCGAGGAAGCACCACAGCCTGCACTGGCTCCACTCTGCCATCGGAATTCTTCCCTAAGCCTGAGGACAAACATCAAGTATTACAGCATCCCCTCTCCAAGTCACCTCCCACCACAAGTTCATGCTGACAGTCACAAGTTTAGAACAAGCAAAGTGGCTTCTGAGGTACCAAAAATTAGAACTACTGCCCAAGCCAAGGGGAGCAGCAAAGGCCAGGCCAGGAGCCTTCCACAGCAGGAGATTTGTGATTCCAAGCCTGAGGCCATTTGTCAGGCTGGTTTCTGTGAAACCAGGCTCTGCCTCACATCCTCAGCTTCTCAAGTCAGGTTCTACTTAAAACTGGTTTGGTTCCTCTGGGAGAACCGGAGACACCGAGGCCCTCGCAGAGCCCCCAAGGCTGGATGCAATTTGGGTGGGAGCAGCAAGTTCAGCAGGCTTKGAAGCCTGTGTCCAGGCCAGGAGACACATTAACACAGACATCAGAAGCTTTGCAGATCAGCTCCCTTCCACCTCCAGCCTTTCAACACTCCACAATGTTCTCACGGCTTTGATCATGAACTTGACCATGCTTCCAAGTGCTTCCAAAGTTTGCCATTCCCATACAGGGGTTAGTGCCCCACATTCCTGTCCTTCCATGAAATAAGTCCTCCCTCTTCCCTCTAACATGGCTGTGATCTATTGCACTGCTTGAGCCTCAGCCAACAGACCCTTCAGCACAGCAAAGTTCTGGCTCCATCCAAAATCTTGAGTTTTTCTCAACAGCCCCAGGACCACCCTCTCCCTTACCTTTTCCAAACTCGTATCCCATCTGAACAAGCAGTTTGGAGCCAATGCCACGAGTATGGGCCTCCCAGCCAGCAAAAGAGGAACTGCAGGCAGGGGTCCATTCCCCATTCTCTGGAACTCCTGAGTCTATCACTGTAGCACAGAAGAGAAGAATCAGTGAAACACAGGAATAAAGTTACAGCACAAAAACCCCTCAGAGGGCAGTAAAATTCACTTCTCCAACCCTAAAATCATTTGGCTACTCCTCCAGCCATACCCAGCTCCTAGAATTGTCACCTACAAACACTGCACAAGTGACTGAAATGAGAGATTCCACTCGATTTAATGCACATCCCACCTCCCAGTTCCAGGAAGAATCATCCAGGASTTTTATGATTCCTTTCCTTCCTTCCAGGATGGTGATACAGACTGATGTACACATCAGAGTAGAATCTGGCACAGTGGCTCCTAGTACTTATCCTGTGCCTCTAGCTCTGGTCTCTGGTATGAGGCTCCTCCAGGCCACAGTGTTCATTTTGTGTTATTGGGATCCAATAATCTCTATCAGGTTAAATGTAAAGAGCTCTAGGGCACTCCTTTGTCCCTGTGATGCAGCTGTGGCACCAGCAGAGGAACAATGCAGCCTGTCCAACTTGCAAGAAGTCATTAGAGCACTCTCTGTGCCACCTTTCAGCAGTAAAACAGGGCATGGCTGTTCCTGCAACCTCATCGAGGCACTGGAAGGACCCAACACTCCCATTTTCTGGGGTCTCACTCTCCTGMGTCACGGAGCTTCTGGGGATGAGGAAATCTGATTCACTCATTGACTCAGCTCAGCCAGACACATAACAGGCTCAGAGCTTGGAACTCTAAAACATCACACCCTCTTCTTGCACGTGTGGGAAGTTCCCATGGAAACCTCCAGCCTTCATTAGCCCCGTGATTTGCATAAAACAAAGATTTCAGTTTGCAGCTGTAGCATAACAGCTAATTACTGTTCTCTATCTTTCGGGACACAGAAGCATCAACTGCTCTTTCATCTGAGGCGAGACACTCACAGGGAGAGCTCTAGGACAGTYAGCCAGTCACAGAAAAAGGCAGAAYAAAACCCCAAGCCACTKTTGCTCACACCCWCCCCACTCCCTTTACCTTTGGCATAGCCAGAATCATCCACACTGTCCGCATCAGACTCRTCAGATTCAGCAGCATCTTCACTTCTCAGGGGGGGAATGACACTGTCCCCTTCCACCACAGCCTCCTTGAGGAGCAGGGAGTCAAACTTCACCGTGTAGTACCCACTGTCCACATCTACAGAGGGAACAGCAAGGACAGGAGCTCCAGTCAGTGCCCAGCACACAGGGGGCTAAAGCAGAGTCAGCTCCATCAGAACAACACCAGACAGTGTGGGGGCACAAGGAAAAGGTTTTTAAAAATTCTGGATTTAATCTGMGACTTTCATTTCTGTCTGGAGGGAGAAGCACCCATGGCAATGAAAAGCTATTTCCACAACGTGTGTGTTGATACCCAAAGGTTTATCTCTACAAAGAAAGAAAGATGGGCTGTTGAGGAACGGAATTAAAAAGAAGTTAGACTTGCTCCCCTCTGACTTAATAACAGTTAAAAGAAAGATGGAAACAGGGAATAAACACTCCCTCTTCTCAGGACAWAGGGAAGCTGGGCAGGGCCAGCTCTCCTGGTTTGTGTTTAAAAAGAGCAGATTATTGCAATTCTCACTTAATAGGCATGTAAATTCCTGCAGTACCTCCCTCTTCCCTGGAGCAGTTAATGACCTCGTAGTCATTTCCTTTCCACATTCCTGCTCTTTATGTCACCTGTTTGCCAGCCAATTCCCTTCCCAAGCCTGACAAAAGGAGTTTCCTCAGCTCTATCAAGATTTTAAGTTCAAGACTGCAGCCAGATAATTTTCCTGTCATTAACCACAACAGCCAAGTTTTAGATCCACATAAACCTCAGCCTCCACCCTCCCCCAGGATCCCTGGAAAGCCTCTGTCCCCCTCACCGGTGATTTTGGCMGTGTACCAAATCCCATCGCTGTGCTTGGCCAGGCAGGCTGAGCCCACCCCCAGCGTGCTCAGGTCAGGCTCCTGGAATGGCTGGAGCTCCTCCACAGACACCACCTGACCATGGGAAAACCTGCAGGGAGGGAGGAACAGGAGTTTTCAAATGAAAATCCCTTCCCTCCTCAAAGGAAATGCACATGAGTTTCAGTAGTGATGAACCTTCACCATAATTGGGTAAGTTTGACCATGCGTTGTTGCAATTACAAAGTTGTTCATGTTTCACCTTTAACATGTTATTTATGTCATGTAATAAAGAATGCATCCCACCCCAGAACATTAAACTTCCTCGCTAGTGACACATCCAATGAAAAAATTCATGGTCTTGGAGATAAACAGGATGAGAGCAAGGCAGGGCTGCAGCCCAGCACCTTCACAGACCACCCAGGCTGATCCTGGTGACAATCCCCAAAAATGGAGCCACTACAACCTCCCTGTGCAACTGGAATGTGTGCACTATCCACAGCCTTGGGTGTTTGATTTTAAAATACTTCATCAGTTGTTAATTTATGCACTCAGTTATGTAATATCTCTGCAGCTTTCCCATGGGATTTTCCACTTTGTCTGTGAAAACAGCTCAACTGATGACACAAAAAGCGCATTTTTAAAATGTTAAGGCACAATTTCCCTGGGTGAAGAAGCCACACAGGACATTTCAGGAGGAGGTTTTATCCCTCTGAAAGACAAGGTCCCTCCCACCCCTCTCTCTTTACCGACAGTTCTCCTTAAATCTGCACTTGTCATCCAAGAAGAASGGGCACGGCTTCAGGGACTTGTGGGTTGGGTAGAGATACAGCACCCTGACCCCTGCACTGCCATCCTCCAGCTCCTCTGTGCCCACAATCATGGCATTGTGGTACTCCAGGGTCCCCCAGGAGCTGTAATAGGGGGCTTTAACCTTCATCCCACTCAATTCYTCCTCCTCCTCCTCYTCCTCTCTCTCCAGTTCCTCCTCTTCTTCATAGCACTTTGATTTGTTTTTATCCCCAGTTTCTCCCTCTCTCTCTGAAGAGATCTTGTTGTCAGCTGGAGGCTCCTCATCTGTTCCAAGCCCAGCAATGGCTTCTTTAAAAGCAGCATATTCCTCATCTTGGGCAGAGCTCTCCAGGTGGGAATCCTGCCCTGGGAGATCTGCTGGGGAGGAGGAGGAGGCATCTGTGTCCAAAGTGGCCAGAAGTTTGCTCTTTTTCACAGCCACCAGGCTGGACTCGGTCAGTTCTATCAACTGCTTTAAATCCTCCTGCAGCTGGATCAGGTCCGACTGCTGCGATGGGTCCTGGCCCGCCCCCAGCGCCAGCTCCACCTGCTCCAGCTGGGCGTTGTAGGTCTGGATCGCTGCTTCCAGACTTTCTTCATCCATTATCAGCACAAGAAAGGCGCTTTTGCTCGCGTCCTCTCCACGAACTTAAAACACATTCAAAGTTTACTTAAGCACTTTCGGATAACAAGTCCTCGCYCGCAGAAGCGACATCTGCCCGCCGTCCCGCTCCTCCCCTTGGAAATCACCACAGGGCGATGCTCCTGCTGGAAACAGGCGGCGAGAGGCGACGGGAGAGTCCGAGGAAAGGCCGGGCCGAGCCCTGCCCTCCCCGCCACGGCGTCCACTCGAGCCCACCGGGCCCGTGCACGACACTGCCCCTTCAGCCCCGGGGCTGCAGCACCTCCCCGAGCCGCCACCGCCACCCCGGCGGCCCCACTCCWCCCTCAGCCTCCTCGGCCCCTGCGAGCCGCCACCATGACACCCGCCATGACACCCCAACTTCCGGCTGCAGTGCCCCACTTCCGGCTGTGCTCGCCAACGCGTCACTCGCTCAGCACTCGGAGTTCCCGGGAGCCCGACGGCGCTCTGCATTCTGGGAGTTGTAGTCCACAGRCCCTCTTTGTGCCGCTCTCGCTGTGGCGTAGAGGACTACATTTCCCAGAGCCCCGTGCGCGGGATGGCGGCGGCCGGTGGCGCTGAGGAGTCGTGAGACCCGACTCCGGCTCCAGCTCTGACACCGGCACCAGGACCAGGTGAGAGGCCGCGGGCCTCGGGCTCGGGGGTCTTTTCCTCGCCCGCTGCGCTCGGGAGCTTGGGGCGGGTCTGCTGGGCTGCACCTGTTGATGGGCTGGGACGTCGCGCTGGGCCGTCAGGGGGAAATGGCGGTGGGGCCGGTTCACCCCTCAGTGGATGTCGCAGGGAAGGAGAGGGCCGGATCTCCTGGATCGTCTGGATCTGGAGGGATCTCCCGGGTCCGGGAGGAGCCGASCGGCGGTCTGGCATGCCCGGGATCATTCACTGTCCCGAAAGGGGAGCGGGCCGGGGTTCTCCCCACCAGTGGCCTGGCTGCTCCCCCGGCGGRCGGCAGGAGCCCCTCTCTCGCACAGCTGGAGGGGAACGGTTGCCCCGGGACCTGTGGGATTGAAGCCTCCTTGCACTTAGGTGCCCTGTCCTCCCTTACCGTGAAACCCCACATTCCTGCTTTGGAACACTTTTATTTCCCTTTAGGTAACGGTGTTTGACTTCAAAGTAGTCATTTAACCACGCACTTGCTTAGAGGCAGCTGCCTCTCAAAGGCTCGGCCTTGAGGTTCCCTTTATCTGTGTTTGAAGAGTTGTTGCAATGGCATGTGAGTCAGCTGCAGCACTTGGTACCAGTGCTTCCTGCATCCCAGCAAAGCTGCTCTGCCCTGTGTGTGCAAATCCAGCCCCAAAAAATCCCCGGGCGTGAGCTTCTGTGAGAATCTTGCTCAAAATACCCGTTCTGTGTATCTATATGAAGTTCATTTCATTTTCCGTGGGTCTTACGTTTACTTCAAGAAATGTTCAGCTTCCTTTGAACTTCCTTCCTTCCTCAGCTCCCCTTTGAACCCCAAATTGATCTTAGGCTATTTTCATGGTCTCTGTTAGGTCTGTGATTTTTCCTAGGATTGCCTAAATACGAGAGTTACTGATAAAAGAGTAACAGCATTCATTTGTCTGGCATTGGGAAGAGCTTGAGCTGTGGAATGAGGCTTTTGGAAATTACCTGTTTGTTAATGATTTCCTGGCATTTGTTGCAGGAGCAGGATGTATACGCTGCTGTCAGGGCTCTATAAATACATGTTCCAGAGGGATGAGTACTGTGTCCTGATCCTGGGTTTGGACAATGCTGGTAAAACTGTAAGTGCTGTTTGTCACCCTATGGAGGGCACACACAATCTTAAACATGCTTCTGGGATAAATCTTCCAACTTGGGTCAATCTTTCTTCAGCTGTGTCCTGAGTTATTTTAGCGATGACACACCAAACAATCAACTTTTCCTCATTACTTAAATTTAGCACAAGCTTTCAGGGATGTGGCTGAGGCTTTGGTAATCCCATAATCACCTATGATCCCTTCYTTCCATGCTAAAATAGGGAGCAAAATTAGGTAGGGCAGTGTCTGCTCTAGTAGGGTTCTGCAGAAATAAAAAAGCAGGTTTGGGGTAGGATTACTCCAGCCAGTAAAACATTTGAAAGTAAATTCTTTGTCTTATTCTTTTCAGACATTTCTTGAACAAACTAAAACCCGATTTAAYAAGAACTACAAAGGGATGAGTTTGTCCAAAATCACAACCACTGTAGGCTTAAACAGTAAGTAAATCCACGTGGAATTTTYTCAGCTTTCTTGCACAGTTAGACAACAGCTGTTTTTTGTTTGACGTATTTAAGAATTCACAAGAGTGGAATAGTTCCTGGAAACAGAGATTGTATCTCCCAACTACCTGGGTCTATTTGTAGAGAATAAAACAGGCTTTCTTAATTTAGGAGGAAAAACTCTTGAARTATTAAATCTCCAGGTATCCTATTTCAATGCTATCCTCAAACTGTATTTCCCTGGAGTTCATTCCTTGGCCCAATTCTGGAATTATTTGCACTGATAATGATCTGTATTTGTGATCACTCTGTACAGGTTTTGCTCTGTTGTTGCAAGTAGCCACTCCTTGCTATTTTTTCTCCTACAAGCCTGTCCCACCCCAGATTTCTGAGTGGGGTGTGCAGAAGTTTGTGATTTCCAGCACCTGTAGTTTTCATTGCTCTGTCCTTTCTTCCTTCCCTCTAGTTGGAACTATTGATGTTGGCAAAACTCGGCTGATGTTCTGGGATCTTGGTGGGCAGGAGGAACTGCAGTCACTTTGGGACAAGGTTAGAGATGTGGTTTTGTTTTATTTGCTTTGTACAGTTTGCCCGGAGAAGCCATGGCTGCTCCATCCTGGGAAGTGTTCAAAGCCAGGGTGGATGGGGCTCTGCTCTGGCTGATCTAGTGGAAGGTAKCCCTGCTTATGGCAAGTTTTCCAACACAAACCATTCTGTGATTCCATGATTTCTTTAAGAAGTGGTTTCGTCTCTTTTAGAACTGAACCMCTATGATTATTTGATAATCACCCAGGTTTATTGGTACCCCAGTAGTTAGCATTAACACTTTTCCARAGATTCAACTATTTCTGTGCTTAATATTTGCATTAATGTTTACAGACAGCACTTACCAACCCATATCTGGGTTGTGACATAGAGATAAGCTTTGGGGGGACACAGGTGAGGTTTTTCATGTGGTGTGCTGAACAGACCTGCAGAGACAGAACAGGCAGTACATGCTGTGTGTCTCCATTCTCCAGGCACACTGTGATACAGCTGGCTCTAACTGGTTGATCTTCTCCATGTGTACCAAAACTGTATCAAAATAAAATAAAATGAGGAAGAGGAACAAGTGGTTCTAATGGATTGACAGCAATATCTGTATTCTCCTTCCAGTACTATGCTGAATCTCACGGGGTGATTTATGTTATTGACTCCACTGATGAGGAGAGGCTCTCCGAGTCCAAAAGAGCTTTTGGTGAGTACCATGTGAACAAAATAGACCTGCAAAGTTCTATAAATTCTATCAAATGAAACTGTAATGCAAGGAGGAACCTCTGGCTTCATCCCTCTGTCTAGATAATCTGTGTCAGACTTCCAGAACTGGCTAAACCTGGTTTTGTTTCTGTCCTTTGTAGAGAAGATGATTACCAGTGAAGCTCTGGAAGGGGTACCCATTCTGGTGTTGGCCAACAAGCAGGATGTAGAGGTAAAATATTACAGATTTACATAAGTGAGCAAATCGGCCTTGGAAAGGGGAGCTCTGCATTCATGTTAAATTTGTGCCACATTCCTGAGCTGATCCTATAGCACTTTACTACYACTGGAAATAATAACATGGATTTTAGTTGTATTTTTTTCCTTTCTCCCCCAGCCTTTTTCCAGTGTCATGAATGAGCTTCCTACAGGCATGTAGTTTGCAACTCTTTATGTAAACAGAACAAGCTGTGCAGCTATGGTGGGTCTTGTACTGTGACTGGGTATATTGATATTGTTTTTTCCTGTTTGTTCAGAAAAAAAGAAATGTTTAGTCCACTAGATGGAGCCAGAGGCTTCCAGTAGGATTTGGCGCGCCAGCCCTGGCAGCTGGGATCAGTAAAGTATGCAAATACTTCTCAGGCTCTTCCTCTGGACTTTACACTTGTCCAACTGATTGCACTTGTGGGAAATACTTACGACTTCCTGAGAAATCACCTGGTTCTAAAGGAGGGTTTGGTTACATTTCATGTGTACAACACAGATTGGGTTTTGGATTATCTACTTTAGCTAGATTATATAGATCATACAGTCTTAGAAATAAGAGAAATGTAGTTCCATGTAAAAGCATGGCATTAAGACAGGGCTGATTTATGGTTCTGACTTAGCTGTGGTGTCTGAAATGTGAGGAAATGGTCTGTCTTTTTTCTGTGGAAACCAGAACACTGACTCTCATTTTTCCATGCAACACCAGTTTTCCTGCAGGGAGCAGCCTGCAATCTTGCCTTGAGCTGTTGAGGATAAGCCCCATGCAGTGACCTGGAAAGCTGTTCCAGATTCCCTTGTGGCTGTATATGCATATTTTGCTACAGGCTGCAGACACTGGCTCTTCTGACATTCTAGCCAGACTGAAGACAAATAATTGAGCAAGTAGACTCCTTTATTCTTCAGTAATTACTCAGGTTCACTTAAGCAGGTTTRGAAGACTCAGTGGCCTGTTTCTCTTCCTCCCATCTAGCAGAATGGAAAATGTCTGGAATAAAACTGAACCTTACAGGATTAGCATTGATAGAGAWTTTTCTGCTCTGGATCTCCAGACATAAAACTAATAGGGAATTCTCACCAGCATCCCTTTGTCCTGAACCATGATAAGGGGGGATAAGTGGTACCTTCACCTTGCTGGTATTTGGAGATGAAGGATAATTCTTGATGATKACCTGTGTAGAGGCCAGCAGAAGTCTTGTGACTAAATTCATCAGTAATAGTTCATCTGATATAGCTGTTTTGTTTTTTTTAAGTTTACATTCTGCACATGAAGATAACAAAAGTGCTGATGCAACCTGAAATTGCTTAAAGTGTTAAGAACTCTGGTGTGAGCCCTGGGGTACATTGTGTCCTCTCAGCACTGCCAAGTACAAGCAGTGTTTGGTCATTCCAGGGGTTGAAATGGAGTCACAGACAGCAAAACACCAATTTGTAATATTCTCACAATGCTGAATGTGATATTTTATGGTATCAGGAGAATGCTCTGTATTTAGGAGGGGCTTCAAAACTGTATTATTTTATAATTAATTATATAATTTAAAAGACTGAGTCAAATGGGTCTTGGAGGAAGGAGTTGGTTTGGGTTTTTAATGGAACTATTGCTTTGTAGGCGAAATAAAATATCCAACATCTAGTAAATCTTGTGAACTCATTTTCAACTCAGAATGCCACTTTTGAGAATGTAGCTTATTGCAGAAAAAACTGCAAAATAGGATTTAATATTTGCTGCTTTGATGTGAAGGCAGCTGTTTAAAGGTTTTCACAAGGTATATATTTCTGAGGTTTACAATGAACTGTTACAGTTTGAGGATAGAATGTTTTATTATGGAACCCTATTCAAAATACTGGATATCCTGTCAAAAACAGCATCTGAAATTTAATGATCTGAAAATTACTGGGTGCTGTGTCATATCCCATGTCTGAGAGGAAGTTTTACCATCCTCGTCTAAAGATAAATTTTGGAAATTTAATTTGAAATCTCCAGAATATTGAAACGCCTCCCCATGCCTTTGGAAAATGTGAGGAGTCATGGTGAGTAGCAGAATACGCATTTCCACACAGGTATTAGAAAACAGACCTTCTGGATGAGAGCCATTCCAGTTTCCAATTGAAGATCTACCACAGGTTCCCTGTAAAATTAGTTTCAGTTTAAATACGCTGATGTAAATTGAGGCTATACTATTCCTTGTTAAAGTTTAAACAAGCTTAAGTGTTAATTTAAAACAAGCTTRTAAAAAGGTAGCCCACAGCATAGATCAGGTGAGTCAGACTTTATGAAATGGTTTTACGTAGACAATCCATCTTGCTTTTGTTTCTCTTTTGGTTCCATTCTRATGGTTGATTACTCTTGGCTGAATGTTAATGCTCTTTAGATGGCTGAAGRGCCTGAGGTTTTATCCTGCAAGGTTTTATCTATGCTTCAGGTTTTGTTCTGACAGGAGACCAGGCAGCAGCATTGTCTTTGCTGCAGTGGATTTGGTAAATGGATAAAGACTCTACAATGCAAGCTTTTTTTGGTTAAAACTTACCTTGCTGCTTGACAGATTTTTAGGTGTGCCATTGCTGAGTCTTAATTTGGGTAAGGCTGTTCTAGATCCTTCATGGAAGGAATTTGCTTTAGTCCTGGCAAGATTATACCTGCAACAGCTTTCATCAAAAGATGTCTTWCAGTGTGTTATTTTGGGGAAGCTCAGATGGAAATTGGATTTGTCATGGGTTGCGTGAGGTTCCTGTGAACTGGCTGAGCTACCATCATTCCTGGAAGGTCACCATGAATTGTGTTATTGTAATAGAGCACTGTTGATGTGTTCACAGATCCAGCTTCCCTTCTTTGCCCTCGGCTTATGTGTTTGCATCTGAGAAACAAAACACATCTGTAAACAAATATTTTGTAATGTGGCTGGGCAGGAGGGGAACTTGGAAGCCACAGCTGACATTTTCCCCTGAGCATGAGAAGCTCATATGCYGCATGCTGAAGTGATGGATGATTTGCCTCATCATCTGCTGCCAGATGAGATTCCAGCTCATGGCTTTCCCTGGAACACTAAAACAAGGCAATGGTAGTTTGCTTTTACCTCCTCTGCTGTGCTGCTCTATTTCACCCTGAGGAAAAAAAGATGTTCCTCAGAACAGTAYTGGTGATGCAGTGACCTCCTGTTGTAAGAATGTGAATGGTGAAATGTCTCCTCAGAAGCAAAGCTCTTTGTGATGCAGATGTCCAYGGAGAGCTGTGGCTGGGCAGCTCTGTGGAAGGTGGGGCAGGCCATGGCTCTACCAGSTGGGAAGGGGAAGTTATAACAGTARTTTMTAYTGGGAGTAAAAATGGCTATAACTGCAAAAAAAAAAGTGATCCCTTAAAAGCCTCAAGGATGGGCGAGGTAAAGAATGTTGGTTCTCTGTTCTGCTGGGTGTGTACAAATGTCCTGGTCTGCTGGTGGTGCTGGGAAGTTCATTGTCTGATTGCTTTGCTACTTGTGCAAGTAGAAATGAAGGAGTCAAAGACAACAGACTGTGCTCTCTGTTGTTAACTTTGTATTTTGAACACTTTATCTGATTTATTTTAAAAGATTTTAAAATATGGCATCATTCAGACAAGAAGAAGTTGTTATACAATGGTATTAGGTGTGAGAAGCTTAAAGTATATTTCAAGAAACATTTGCTCAATTTCAGCTGCTTGACATTTAACCTTCCTTGACTAAAAAAACAACCAAAGGCATGAAAAATAGCTCTTTTTTGAGCTGACGTGCAGCTCTTTCTCCTTCCYAGTTGTTGGGTAATTGTCTTGTCCACAGCTTTGGTTTAAACCAGGAAGCATTGGGACCTGCTTTTCTTACTGGGCAGTCAGAACACTATATCAGGCTAAGGGATCTTTTACAAACCAGGAGAGAATGGTTGTTTGGTTGTAATCTCTTGCCCATCTTCCTGACCTGTATGAATTCCAACTCCCAAGTCCAGTCTGACTCCCTCTAAAGTTAGTATTTCTTGAGGCTTTTAAAATTAACTATTTGCCCTGTGGCTGACAGCTCATCTGTATGAACTACGTGTTTTTCACTTGGCAGAAATCCTGAATTTTTGAGGCTTCAATGGAATGATGTTAGTAACATTTTTTGATACWGTTTCCAGGTCATCGATTGAGAGGGCAAGTTTAAAATGCAGCTTAGGTCATAACAAAGTACAGTCATCAAAAGTTGCACAATTAATGGAGTCAAGGGCTCTGGGTTCTGMATTGGGTGTTGTTGAACTCCCATATCAAACTATATCTTAAGATCCCTTCCTATTTATAAGCAATGAAAGCTGCTTACTTCTGTTGTTCACAGAAATTTCCTGTATTTAATTTCTCYAGAATCAGTGTTTTGCAAATGGATGGCTGGTAACATTAAGTTTCATATTTCTATTCCCTCAGAGTTTACATCCACTTTGTCAATCCTCAGGACAAGGGTCCAGCTTGGCATTTGTGTAAACATTTGTTCAAAACACATGTGTGAGCCTCACTGAAGGTTCAAAACATGTGTGTGAGCCTTGTTGAAGGTCCAAAATGTCTTTGCAGAGAGGAGGAAAGGTGGGCTTGTGGTCAGCTGAAGTGCTTAGATAGGTTGTCTGAGGCTTCTGAGGAAAAAATGAGTACTGAGTGCTCAGCGAGCTGCAAGTCCAGACTTAAGTAGGGCAGGTTTGCTTTTGTTGCTGTTCTAAAAGTAAGATTTTTGTGGTGATACTGGGATTTATGTCAGGAGAGTAATCCACTGATTTATTGGGGGTTCGATTTGTGYTGCTCTTCCCAGCAGCCTCCTGGCAGCCTCACAGAAGTTCAAGACCTGCCTGGGGTCAAGAGCACAGTGACATCAGGCACCAGAAAACGARCTGTGCTCAGTGCTGCCAGTGTTTTCTCTGAATGCAAACAGACAAGTGCAGGTGGGGCATGGCTGTAATGCCAAGAAATGTGCTGGGTACTGAGGAAAAATCACATGCTTTTTTGTGAGAGTGCTCAGGATGCTGGCCAAGAGTCAGCTGGGCTTGTGGCAGGGACACCATTTCAAAAGATTTTGTAAATAGTACAGCTCTTGTAGTGTAAACAGACTCTTACTCTTGTCTTGGTAAACAGAAGCCATGTGTGACAGTTGAGCTGCTTGGAAAGAATATCCTTAGAGGGTGCAGGTTATGCTCATTTTCAGAACTGTTTGTGTACAAAGTAAGGATCAAGGAGGTGAGGCAGTGTGTGTGTACTCTCAGCAAACAGTCTTCTCTTTGGGGAAAAAAGAATGTGTTCATTTCTTTGGAATGCARAGAGGTGAATTTGCTGTGTTGGTGGGTGAGGGGGTTTAACCTCACGCTGTTGCTGTCCTGACTGAAGCAGGACTGCAGGTGTGGTAGGATTCATTGTGGAAGAASGCCACCATGACTTGTAGCACAAACMAGCTCTACTTTGCTTCCCTTTGCAGACTTGTCTGTCAATACCTGACATCAAGACAGCATTTAGTGACTGCATTAACAAAATTGGGAAGAGAGAYTGCCTGACACAAGCCTGCTCGGCCCTTACTGGGTGAGTATGAGAATAAGTAGTCTGAGAACTGGTTTACTGAACATTTTGTGGGGTGTCACACRCAGAGCAGTGCTACAGGATTTACTAAGCCTTGAAAGGGAGCTGTGCTTCTTTCCAGCACTGACAGACACTTGTTTGAGAACCTTRGACTTGCACTGGGTCACTTAACTTYATATRTAAATYCTGCYTGTGAAACATAGTGGAAGTATACTGCTGGCTGAAAGCAACAGGACTTGGAGGCTTATTTTTGGCCCTGTGTCTTCCCTTCTCCTTACACAATAATGCTTGCAGATGTTGGTTTACTGCAGCTCCTGGCTTTTAGGTTAGAAGTCAGTTTAAAATGCAGCTGTTGATGCCTCTGCCAGAGAAATGGTTGGTGGGCCACTGTTGCCGTAATTATACTCTTGCTTGCATATTCTTTGGCATGGAGATGAGCTTTGTGATGGTGATGATAGAATAGTCTCCAAGAGTGCTCTTACATGGGGATGCCTGTGGTTTAAAATTTGATGACTAAAACAGACTCTAATTTGGGCCTACACAGCTGCATGCCACGACCTTGACCAACCCACTGAATTCTTGCTATCTCAGCGTCATTATTGCGCATTGAGTCTTGCAGTACTTTGGTTATTTGTACTTTCAGTTCTTTGAGTGAAAAGTGCTATTTGGCATAAGTCAAAAGTGCTGTTCCAGGTGGTGAAAATATTCCTGGCTGAATTACTGTCTGGGCTGAATTCAGAGCTCTGAAATATTTTCTTTTATAAATTTAGCTAGAAGTCTTTGTTGTAATACAAGCTGCTGCAAAGGATAACAAAAACTTCTTAAACYGTGACAAAAATGTGTTGTCTGCATTGTTGCAAATGACATACCATTACCATTAAGCAGATGAACAACCACAATGTTCAAGCACTGACTGGAAGAGAAGTGTTAGATAATAACCTTATGTAAAACAACATTTTCAGTTGTGTTTTTTGTACAAATACTTCTAGTTTTGATCTGTTTGGAATTTCCTTTCAAAATTCCAGTTTGAGCTTGCACTAAAAGAATAAATAAGTCTTGGAGGTCATGGGGAGCTGTGCAGACTAGCAAGGGGGTGACTTGCTTGGGAGCCCCAGCACAGATGGTTCCAGAAAGCTGGAACCAGGATTATGAGATCGTATACAAATGGTSTGAGGTTTGTGGCAGAATAACCTCAAAACAGCTGTCAGGTGGTTTGGTGCTCATTCATTCCAAGGTTTCCACAGAGTTRGTGACTAAGTTGGGTGTAGACTTGTACAGACATCAGAAAAATGGATGGAGATTTGTATGTTGAGCTAAAAGAAATCAGATCCCTATTGTTTGCCTGTATGAGAAGTAACACAAATGCCAACATGTAACTGTGGGGTGAGTAGAGCCCTTCCCTTTCTTATGTAAGGGCTCGGTTAGGGCCTATGTGAACCATGTGTTTGTTCTTGGTTGCTGCTTGTTGTTGGTTTATTTTAAAACCTTGTCTGCTTGTCTTACTTCTTAGCAAAGGGGTGAACGAAGGAATTGAATGGATGGTGAAGTGCGTGGTGAGGAACATCCACCGCCCCCCAAGAAAGAAGGACATCACGTAGGAGTTGTGAGCAAGCCAAAGAATGGACCTTCTCTTTCCACACACTTTTGTGTTCCCTTTAAAGAAGGTGATCCACTGGATTCCTATTACACCTGATTCTTTCCTAAGTTTGGAGACAAATACTCTCTTTCTGTGTCTAAAAAAACCTGAGCCAAGGATTCCAACTGGGTGGGGGGTGGGAATCTCTTACATTAAGTATTAAGTCATTGGCCTGAGAGCATCCTATGTAGCAACCTACACATCGTTGCAGATGCAAAGGACTTAATTTTCTATCTTACTTTGTGATTCCTGGTTTGTTAGTCTAACAGGCTGGAGGCCGGTGACATGAAGGAGCTGCTGAAGGAAATGTGTAGGTGAATGTGGAAAGGGAGGAACAGCCTAGGGGAATGGTTGTYCCTCCTAACTGAGAAGATCCCTTGCTGCTCCAGCCCCGTGTTACTCCAGGGTGTTAATGGCCCTGTTATGCTGCTGTTGGTGTASTGGGGAGACACAGTGGTGATTAGAACTTGATTTTCAGTCGGGGTGTTGCTTTGTAACTTTGACCTGTGGTAAACGCAGACGTGGAAACCAGCAACTGCACAGTTTGAATCATGGAATCATTAAGGTTGGAAAAAACCTTGAAGATCATCAAATCTAACTGCACAGTTGTATGCTGGTTGAAATGGATATTCCTACCAGGACATGGATTCCCAAAGCACTGCCTTGCTCTGACTGCCAGTCTCTTTGTGTATTCTCTTTAATCTGAAGAGTAATTGGGATCTTCTGTAACTGGAGTGAATCRAGGGCCTCTCTGTGATCTTTCTGAGCTGAAAACAACCTCTAGACAGGGAGAAATCAGTATGCAATAAAGCTTCCTACTCTTTGAACTTCTCTGGCTGAAACAAGTGATATTTGGGAATAACAGTACTTAGCCCTCTAGTTTTCTGTAAAGTAAGAAAACAGAAAGGCAGCACTCAAAAGTCAAACTTCTGTTCAGTGCTTACATCTCCTACTCAGCTAGATCTGCTGATGTATCACTGCCATTTCCCTGAATATGGGATTTTACCATGAATTTTTTACCAATATGAATTTCATGGTGGTTTGGCAGCGAGTGTTTCTTCTTCCCTGTTTTATTTACTCCTGGCACTGATGAAGATTCCGTGCTGCTTGCTGACATAATGAAGAATCCATTCATCAAGTTGTACTTGATGAAGTACATTTGTTCAAAGTCTGTTAGTTGGCATCCGTCAAAAGAACTTTCTGCTGAATTTTCTGCAGCAACTCTGCAGATTTTTTTTGAGAGAGAACGCCATTCGCTCACATTTGTGTCAAAGCACGAGGGCTGTGTCATTAAGCACATGAAGTCAGTGGAAACAATTGCAAACTGGAAAGCAGAATTTTGCTTCTYAATAAGAAAAGTAAGGCTCCTTCAGACCTAGTGACCCACTCATTTTTCTTGTGTGCTCTGTGAATATGGAGGGTCCCTTGGAGATCACTCTCCCACCATAGGAAGTGTCACTTTCTCTGGGTGCTACGTGTGATGTAGGGCTGACATTTTCAAGAGTACTGAGATTTTGGAGAACCAATGGCCATTGATTATCAGGAGCATCTCTCTCAATGGGCTCTTGGAAAATACTTGGAGAGCCTGAGTGTTTTCAAGGTGACTTTGTGACCTTGGCTGTTTTGGTTTGCAGGGTTGGCATTCACAATTAAACTGAAGATGTAAAACAGTAACTTAAGAACAAAAGTACCTTGCTGAGAGTCAAAACACTTCAGTCAAGTAGCATGAAATGTCTWTTCTATGGGACGACAGGGAGTTTCCAAGCTTTCCACATACTTTTCTCAGATCTCTTGCTCCCCCTTTCCCCTGGGAGACTAGGGAGGAAAAAACAGTTTCTAGACACAGACTGCTCTGTGGTGCAGATCAGCAGGGGGTCTTAAATGAAAGGAAATGTTTTGACCTCAGGATTCCAAGTTCTCAAGCATGGGAGAGTCCTTTTCCCAGACACATGCCCAAGCTGAGAAAGGTATGTATTAACGTGCTCTGGCTGCAATGAATCAGGGAGGATTTCTCTGAAACCAGCAGTGTAAAGTTCACTCTAATTCAAAGTGAGCAGGATCCCATCAGATGGACAATTTTTTAATATTTTGATCAGAAATTCAATTATTTTTTCACATTTTATATTTACAGGAAGCACTGACTTGTTTAAAAAGCTTTTTTATGGTTCCAAGTGACCCTCCTGCCAGACCTCAAARTGAAAATGTTTCTCAGTAGGTAAAATTTAGTCAGTTTTCCAGATTTTTGATACATTTTGTTGAATCTATTTTGCCCCTGCCTGTTCACAGCAATGTAATTRCCTGAAGAGTTGCTTTATCTTCCCAAGGGGAAACAGACTGATCATCTGCACTTAGCAATTCCTGTTTCCTCTGACATGCTGTATGTGAGATAAAGGTAAGTGTCAAATAATCTCAGCAGTGATCTCACTTTGCCTTATTTGAACATWGGCAGATGATTACATTTCTCTCACCCATCTGGAATTTCTTATGTAAACATTCATTAGCAGCAGAAGGAAAAAGCTAAAAAACCACTTGTAAGGCATTTAGAATCCCAGTGAGAATTGCAGTGCTSTCTGTATGCTGGTAATTCCATCTTCATTCAGAACTCCAGAAAGACACAGAGTAATTGAATTACAGCACTTCTGGCTGGTCCAGCCTAGTCCTGTCCTGTTCTCGTGCAAGGCAGAAGTGACGTGTCCATTGAGGGTCTATGTCACAGTGGTGCTGAAGTCAGCTTATCCCACTTCACAGGACATCCCATTCCACAGAGCCAGGAAAAATGCCAAGACAAATCAGACCCAGCTTCAGAGTAAGTCCAGCATCTTAGTCCAGCCTGTGGCCACTAACATCTGTCTGAGAAGGTGGAGCAAACATGGGCTGTTTGGGTTCTGTGCCCCTGGCCATCCTTCCCACTCTGCTAAACTGATATTAAGCCATCATAAAGAAGTGGATGTGATAGCCAGTGCTGTAGGGTTGTTTTATTGCCTAACTGACCTATTTTTAGTCTCTACTTCTTTATCATCCTACTTGTGTACTGCTGACATGGCCAGCAGATCCAGCAGTTTGTTTAGGGAAAGGACCTGGTGTTACAATACACATCACAAGCTGGAGTGAGTCTCCTCAGCAGTGATGTTTCGGCTGTGTAGGAGATGGTTGGATTAGTCATTATTTCCAGAAGTGTTCTTGATTAACTGACTCTGACTACCAGTGCAAGTTTGAAAATGTAAGGCTCAGCTAAAAACCTGCCTTAAAGTACTYTTGGAGGGTTCTGAATTGATCTAGACATTTCACTAGATTTTTAACAGTATCCTGGGATGTSTCTGCTGGCAAGTGGTATTAATTCAAGGGGAGAACTTCTAGAGAAAGGCAGAGTGGTACTGTCATTGCATTTGACAATTATCCCTTTAAATAAAAAAATCTGATTAATGTGGATGGTAATTCCTGGCAGCCACAGCCTGCTATGTCCACACATGAAGGACAGGGGATTCTGCCTCCACATCCAACTCTGCTGCTGCTCCTCAGCTTTTACCTAAAGCASCATCACAGGCCAAGTTTTGCCTTCAGCCTTGGGGCTGTTTTCAGACTCCTGAGTATTTGTCTATAGATTTCCCAAAAGCAATTTGGACAATTAATAAAGACAGGCTGAATTGACCCTGCCAGGCAGACAAGTTCTAGGCTGGATGACCTCTCAAAATTCCCTCCTGGCACAGTTTTCTACTCATATTTGTATTGAATTTCTCTCCTGGGAGGTAAGAGGCAGTGGTGAGGTGCCAAAAGCCTTTCCACTCTGCTGAGCTCTTTCTTGCCATGACAATGGATGCTAGAGAAACTGGAACAGGTGCTTTTTACACTGTGGAATTTTATACCACTTGGAAATCCCATGTGCAACATTCCTGATAGATAACATATATTGTTTACTTGACCTCGGGCATTTCCTGCAGCTTTACCCTTGGGTTTTGTTCCTTGTGCTTCTGCAATCCCTAAGGGAGTTGTTTCTATGCTCCTCTGGTAAAACCAGCTTCTGTAACAACTCCTAGGGGCTTTCCATTCATTTCCTTGCACACAATCACACTTTTTTTATTCCTCAACTGCCTTCATGAGGATTAAGTCTCAGCTTTCAGTAGTGTCTGCTCTCGTATAACCATCTGCACAAATTACATTTGATCACAAGCCTTTACCCATTACATCAGAAGGGAGTGATGCTTAAAACCCCCGGTACAGCAGCCAGGTGAAGCAACCAATTGGTACTAAAAAGAATAAGAGCATGTCACAGAAAATGACAGAGATCTAATGCAGAAAATATGGACAGCACAGTATGCAATAGCACTGGGGAAAAAATTACCTAAAGGTTTTCCATGAACTAGGTCTTTGTCAACTGGAAACAAAGAGAGGAGGAACATTGGCMGTTGACTATGTGGTGCTGGAATTCTCCCTGACATTCTTTTTAAATASAACCTTAAAGCTGCTGTTACCAAATGAGTTTCAAAGTTTCCATGTTGTTATGAGTGTCATCTCCAATACCACATTCCTCACATCCTTTCTTGAGGATGTCTGTGCAGTCTGACCTTACCCATGTGTTACCCAAAGTGGCTATGAGGGTGAGGCAGTGGATGCGTTCACTTGGGAGCTCACAGRATCCTTTCCTTGACACAAAATCCTTGCTGGACCAATACATAGTATTCTGTCCTCACTAACATTGCTAACTTGTAAGTAGTAACTTCGTGTGCTAGGGGTGTCTTATCTGGGCTGTGGTTTTGCCAAGAAAGGTCWGACCAGATGATCCTTGAGGTCCCTCCCAACCTGGAATTCTGGGATTCTATGGTTCTCCATTATTTGAAGTGTACATCCTTCAGCTGAATGCATTTAGTGCTAAACATTTGGAGGAACTAATCCAAGCCTCTGACCCAGTGCAGCCTTAAGCCTCTGTATTCAGCATGCACCAGAAGCACTTCTCTGAAGGCAAACTAAATTCACTGTAAAATTAAGTGTATTCTTAAGTACTTTCCTGAAACAGAAACCTCTGCAGTTGTTTCTGTTGCATTGCAGTTCAGTTCAAAGCCAGGAACTCCTCCACCTGTTCTCAGAAGTCAACCTGTTTCCATTTCATTGGAGATTTTCTTTAGAATTTTATCTTTTTTTGAGTCACACTCCCACAAAGAATGAAAGCATTCTATAAAGCAGTCATAAGGAGGAATAAGGAATTTATTGTTCCCAGAAGCTGGTATTRCACACAACACCTCCTCACTGCCTGTAACAGTAACAGGCAAAGGAATTTAATCTCAGTATTTCAGAGAATTGTTCCATGTCCTGAGTTGGGAGGGACTGATTAGGATCATCGAGTCCATGCTGAACTTTTGCTGTGTTTTGTCACCAAAACCCTTCAGATGGGCTCTTCTGCCTRTGGCAAAAGAGCACTTGAGCAATACTGAAGGGAATTCTGCCCTGCTGGAAGATTTTGCTCCTCTGACACAAACTAGGCTTATTTTAAGCCGTGGTTTTGGAATCACACATGGARCCCCCAATATCCACCACCACACTGTGACAGGAGAGCTCTGCCCAGCAGTGAGGGCGAAGGCAGCTGGGGCCTCCTGGGGAAGGATAACAATTGAACCAAAACAAATCAATCCCACGCAGYAAGGATTAAGTTCTGCCAGGGTTGTACCCACATCCCCAGCGTGGTGGAAATTTTGACAGCTCATCTCCATGCCGTGAGAAGAGGCAGGATCATGGGATAGCCCATACCACAGGCTGTGAAACACTCGTAACTACCCTGTGAGTACATCTGGTGTCTCAAAGGGCAGGGAATCTCTGTAGACAAGAGGTGCTGAATCACAGGCRAGGTTGTTCCTCTGTGACATGACAGCACACAGCACATGAAACTGGGTGAAAGAAGAAGTTGGGCTTGATATTCTCAGAGCTGATTYGTATTTTCTGGTTCAGAGTCATGGA